TTTTCTTCTTTCTTTCTTTTTTATTAACGTAAAATTGATTTTTATCCCGCCTTTTTATTTTCTTTTATGTTGTCAGAAGGATGTTTATAAAATAAAAAAAGGGTGAATATATCATGTGTTGTTGTATATATTCACACGACTCGCAGTTAACAGGTAGCTGGTATTTTGATTTAATAATGCGAGTCAACTGTCGCGAGGCAAATTGACGTGAGTTTTCATTATACTAGCCGCCGTTCGTCGTCTCGCACTTTGCCGGGCATTTATGTCCGTGTAGAAATGAGAGCGAAACCTTTTAAATTTTCTGATTTTCGCGTTCTTCTCGTGTCTGAGCTTCGTGAATCTCCTGAGATGCATTTCGAATAACCGGAAGGGGTTAAAGGTGCTTTATTACTGACAGCGAAAACGAGCAGCTGGAGCTTATATGGATCGCAACTGCCGCTTTGCTGCAAACTTTGCGATTCAAATCAGTCGATGGGTAAATCCGGTGTATTACTCACACTGCAATACATTGGATAAAAGTAATAATTCGCTGTGTAATCTACTTTATTACACGCACTTATTCAGAATGAAATTCGTCCCGTTAAATTCGAATTCTTATGCATTGTTATTGATAGAGTCTTCAAAAATTGAAGGTGATGATAGCGCACATCACTGTACGTGATGTGCGAGTATGTCCATTATTTTATTCCCGTATGTAATGGATAATTGCGTGGAAATAAAGCTTCGGTATGTTGAAGACGAGTTTAAACTGCGACGACTCAACTCGAGGAAGGACGGTACAACGCATACTTCTAATGCCGTTCATGTAGCTTGCTATCGCGCCATTAACAGCCCATGAACAGCATTAGTAATGCTTGCGTTTATAATGTTATCATTGAACGCGAATCTCAATTGCGAAATTCAGAAGACACACTGCCCACCACTGTAAATGGTAGACATTACTGCAAGTCTTTGTAATTTTTTTTATTTTATTTCCAATCAACGAGCAAGATATAGCATCGTTTAAGAAGGGACTTAACGTGTCTTTATGTTGCGCGCGAATAGTCAGATAAGTATCGTTGGAGCAAATCGATTGTTTATTCACATTATTGATGTGGGTACACACATAAGTGATATTCCAAATGAGACACACTTAAAGGTTTATAAACTTTTACTCATACAAATAGCACAAGAGAGAAGATATATCTAGGAAATACAACAACATATCATATGTTAGTTTCATACTCAGCAATATAATTGATATATTTACATTGTTAAGTAGGAAATTACAGGTGTGTTACATTGTGTTTATTTACCAAACAGCTCAGTAATAGATAAGAATGATAGTCTTTTAAATACTTGATTGCATTTTTTCTTCTCTAATATCTTTTGCGTCGGAGAAGCGAGAGAGAAGAAAAAGGGAAGCAAGGTGGTTCTCCTCCATCGCAGATCGATAACTGCCCGCCGTTTATATTTGCGCCGGAAGGTCGGTATAATGAGCCGAGTTTTAAAGGTAGGTTTAAATACATTCTTGTGTTTCGCTGCGCAGGTAGAGAAATGAGCCCGTCCCTGCCCCCGATAAAAACACACATCCGTGCGTAGGATCGTTTAAATAATAAAGGGATATTAGTTACCAGGCACCTGCCAGAGGTGCTTACGCGGTTTAAAGCCAACTCACGCGAGCGCCTTTATAACGAGGATTAATCTCCCGCTGCAGCGAGAGGATGGCGTGTAGATGCAATCGTACTAACCCGCGAGAGGACGACGATGAGAAAATTTATTCGCAGCCGAGGAGTAGATAAATCTTCCTCCGGTAATAAATCGCACAGGCTAATCACAACAGATAGCGTTAGACTGATGACGGATGTTCTTGCAAAATTTCGCCGCGGATACAGCAGGTCAAATTTGAAAAAGAGGGAAGGGTATTATTTCGATATGATTTCAAAAAAGTTACCAATGTAATTTCTATTCGCAATGAAATCGTAAGAATGAATGTTTCATTTAAGCTTAGAGTGGATTCCCATCCGAATGTTTTAATCGATTAGAATGAATTTGTTTCCATGTCGGTTGGATTCAATTTCGAATGAAAATATTCTCTTTTTCATTCGATGACTCAAAGTGAAGAATTTATTCTATACGAGCGAAAAATCACTCGACTCGGCTTGTCGCTCTGCTTTTCGAGTGAAATTTCATTTCAAGAAATTTCAAGAGCACAAGTTTGTTGAAAATCGCCTATATATTATCCTCGCCAGAGCGTTGTTGTAACGGATAAGCCGCCGTTAAAGAGAATCAACTAAATATAAGACGGAAAATTCACAGCTGTTGAACTTCGTGAACCTTTTCCACTCGCAATTTCCCCACCCTACCGCAATTGGACGCTTTACTGACCGCGCAAGGAGTACTTTTCGGCACGTCGAGTGAAACGTATGAGCGATGTCTATGCGCGTCGTCTGCCAAGGGATATCTAGTCACGTATTAAAACGCCGTTCCGATTTTATCCTACCAATAAAAATGGTTCACGTGGTTGGCAAGCATCCGGGCGCCCACGTCTCGACAGACGTCTGTTCGTCGATTCGAGTGTTCACGATCGACATCTCCTCAGTGTTGATATATTCGAATTTGCTTTTTTTCTTTATACGAGACATACATGCTCGTATACATGACTTTGCGATTATCGTTCTATTGTTAATGCAGCCTGGAGTTTATTTAGTAACTTTTTCATTAGCTCAGAAACGGAAGGATAACAAATTGAAGGAAAAAATTCATGAATTTTAATGATGCCAAGATATCCTAAAAGTAGACAGGCAAGTTAGGACCGTGGCATATAGAAAAACTTCAGCAACAAGAATATTGACCAGTTACAGTCGATTATTCGACTCAACCGAATTATCGGTTTCTTATTATTTAAATTTAATTTTGTTTACGTTATTCTTGCCATTGTTCTTACTTTTCTTTAGCACAATTTTCATTTCTGTAACACTGAATATTAGAACGCGCGAACAATCTTTGAACGAAAAACGAGTACAGAAAAACATGGTAATGTGATTTTTTAGCCGAAGAAAATCAATTTTTTTATTGTGAAGAATAATTTGCTTACTTTATGGTATTATTTTATATATTTCATGAAATAATTATTTCACGACGAAGAACGTAGCAAATATGAAGCAAGTAAACAAT